CACTGCTGATGATTGTAGTTGGCTACTACATAAAACATGCATGTACAGTGAAGCCTCTTCGCTCCTTTTTGTGTGTTGGCATAATGCCGACATCTTGAACTTCTTGAAGTCTAAGCCGGCATGACCTCGAGTTTGCTAAAAACTTCTCTATAACGAAAAAAAAGGTCGTATCAAAAAAGCCAAACTTTGGACAAAAAACGGTCAACACGCCGTAAAAGGCTGCTATATGGAAGCCCAAAAATATGCAGTAATGCATATTCTTCACAATCTGCCACGGAACTCTGATAGAGATTAAAGACAGAAAAAAGGCCAACACACACTAAGGGCTTGATCAGCTTTTCGAAGTTTACCGATCTGGCGACGCTATAATTCCCAACCAGTTATAGCGCGGCTTACATGGTAACCCAATTCGATCGTTGACTAAGACAGCGATTTCACTGCTGATGATTGTAGTTGGCTACTACATGAAACATGCATGTACAGTGAAGCCTCTTCGCTCCTTTTTGTGTGTTGGCATAATGCCGACGTCTTGGACTTCTTGAAGTCTAAGCCGGCATGACCTCGAGTTTGCTAAAAACTTCTCTATAGCGAAAAAAGGTCTATCAAAAAAGCCAAACTTTGGTTTCAGAGAACTGCTATAGGTGTAGCCAAACCAACCACATCGACCTGGCTAAAGGTGAAAAATGTGAGCGTGCCGCAAGCTGCATAAATTGCACTGACACAAAAACTTACCTAACTCCGACCACCATTCCAGAGATAGAAAGTGTCCAGTATTTCTCACGCACAAAGAAGTACAAGCCATCAAAACCCTTCAAAAAGTTGACTACAAAACGGCCTGGAACATCCTCAAAACCAGACATCATCACGACGGCTCCTTATACGCATCGGTTGCCAACGCCTCTAATCAAAGATATTCCCGACCTCAACAGCTTAGCCAAAACACACCATCCACTTCAGCTTCAACCTCTTACAACACATCACCAACAACTTACACAGGCAGAAACATAATTACTTACGACGACAAGGAAGACGAACAATGTCGACAGACCCTGGAGAAGAACCTACTATCAACGGTAAAGCAAACAAAATCAACATCCTGCCAAGAAACATAAGAAACAAAACTAAAAGACATTTTATTAATAAGGATAAATCGACCACTATGTTAATTAGACCTATGATTAAAAATATCACTAGCTCAAACGCAACAAACAATTAATAGCGAAACCTAACGAACACTCCATACCCTATAATATTAAATATGGCACTTACTGTATTACAATGGAATATTAATGGCTATTTAAATAATTATAATGAACTACTAATCCTCTTAAAACTTCACCAACCCAACATCATTTCACTACAAGAAACTCACATTACACTCTTTCAAAAATTTCCTATCCCCGTTAACTTCAAAATGTATAACACAATTTCGGCTACAGCTAAAGGGGGTGTTGCTTTACTGATCCACAAATCAGTGCAGCACAAACCAATCACTGCAGGCCAAGTTTTCGAAACTATTGGACTAGAAATACAGGCCCAAAAAAAGCTTAATATTTTTTCAGCCTATATACCACCTTCACAAAGATTTACTAAGACAGATTTAGAAACCACAATCCCCCACCTAACAACACCTACACTGATCACAGGAGATTTCAATGGATGAAATACTCTCTGGGGATCCCCCAAAAGCAACCGCAGGGGTAGAATCCTAGGAGACTACATCCACAGTAATAGCTTTATCACATTAAACAACGGTCAGCCAACATATTTCTCAACTCACAACTCATACACCCACAGCGACATCGCCTTTTGCTCGCCAAGCCTCAAAATTCACTGTGACTTCAAAATAATGGACTCTCCCCAGGGTAGCGATCACTTTCCAATTATAATAACCATATTTGCCCAAGAAAATCAGACATTAAACTACACAAAAAGATTTATTACTAAAAAAGCAAACTGGGAAAAATTTGAAAGTCTCTCCAGCCAATTTAAGAACCAAATTCCATTATCAACTAACACAAACACAGAACACAGCAACATAAATAAAATAATATTAAATAGCGCCTATAATAGTATCCCCAATCCCTTCCCCCAAAAACTCAATACAACATCCCTTGGTGGAACAAAAAACTAAAAAACTTAAAATTAAACAAAAACCGAGCCTGGAGAGCGTTTAATAGGAAAATGTCCCTGCCTAACCTAATAAATTTTAAAAAATCAAATGCGCAGCTCAGACGAGAAATTCGAAATAGCAAAAAAGAAAGTATTCACGCACTAACATCCAGCATTTCAACGGACTCAAAACCAGAAATGATCTGGAATAAAATAAGACAATTCTGTGGGATTCACAAATCAACACACATACATTGTATCCAGGACAACACTACTAACACAATGGTATCGAAACCAGAAGATATTGCTACAGCTTTTGCCAAACATTGGTCATCTCAATCCGAAGATCAAAACTTCTCTCAAGCATTTCTAGAAGCAAAGCACATCACATACAGACAAAACAACGATGAACCACCAAAAGAAACAGCAGACTTCATGGAACGAGACATTGACTATCTTGAATTTTCTGTAGCTTTAAACAGTCTTAAAGGTAATACGCCTGGGAATGACAAAATCAATTATACAATGATTCAGAAATCGGCAAAAACAGTTAAACTTAGAATAATAAACTTCTTCAACTGAATCCTAAAATCATTTATCCCTCAGGCCTTTAAAATTAATCTTATTCAACACTTTTCCACCTGGTACCAATTAATTAACAATAGCCATACAAATTTAAAAGACTACACAACAGCAAAAGAGATAACCAAACTATCTAGAAAAGACCAAATCCGCATAATTAGACTACGTCTGGGTCACACCAGACTCACCCATGAATATAGATTTTCCCAACCAACAAGCAACCCCTGTAAATTCTGTAACCAAAATTCAATGACAGTAGAGCATATTCTAAACGAATGCACTGCATTCGACAACTCCAGAGCCAGCATCCCAAATAAAAACTTAGTCCCACTCCTTTCGAATCCCACGACCACTAACCTCCTTAAACTTCTAGACTTCCTTAAGAAATCTAACATATCTAGCCTCTTATAATTAAGATATCTTCATAACCGGAAATGTAACTGAACTAGACACTTAGTAATTAAGAATCGAACACAAAAATGAATTTATTAACTTTAAGCCGGCCTAAAGCCTTAGAAGCTATGGCTGCCCATTTTCTGTAGCTTTAGTTTTTTAACTTTAAGGCTTAAAGTTTAAGCAAACAGAGTGTAAAATAAATAAATAAAGACACAGAGGGAGCCTTCGACGTCTCATTACATGATGCGGTGGGAGCTGCCCTGTCCAAAAGGAACATATGGAATGGATTGGTAACATACTTGAATTAAAACAAGATAGAAGGCTATAGTCGGGTTGGTGTCCCGACTATCTAATACCCGTCACTCGGCTAAAGGGGGTGCGCGGGAGATGGATATGTAAAATTTTTTTGATTGCGTATAACTTTTTAATGATTGGTCAAATTTGAAAAATGTCTTCTACATTTCGATAGGTATAAATATACACAACAAAATGGCATTTATACTTCTCGAAAAACGTTAAAGGTGTGGGCGCCAGACATATTTTAAAATATTTAGTAGGCGATTGTGGGCGTTAGAGGGGGCGTGGCGCTCGGCTGAAATAAACGTGCGCTGCGTAGGAAGTAGAAGAATATGTGTGGAAAATCTCAAGCTTTTAGCTTTTGTACTTTCCGAGATTTCAGCGTTCATACGGACGGACAGACGGACGGACAGACCGACGGACAGACCGCCGGACAGACGGATTGACGGACAGACGGTCATGGCTATATCGACTCGGCTAGTGACCTTGATCAAGAATATATATACTTTATAAAGTATACTTTTGCACGAATACAATATACCCTTTTACTCTACGAGTAACGGGTATAATAAAAAACATAATGCTTAGATATAAACAAACGGCTAAAGCGCAAGTTAAAATATGGATATGTTTTAATGTTTCAAAAGTAAAATACCATCTGCAAAGGTATATTTATATTCATTTTTATATGTGTACAAAAAAAGCAAATACATTCTAAGCCAATAAAAGTGTCCATTTTTATTCAAAAACGTCGAGAAACATACATTTTTTTTGACATAAAAATCGAAAACATCGAATTTCCCAAAAATCGATATTTCTCCACATCTATCGTGTACTTTATTTATGACATGTACGAAATAATTTCGATTTACAGCTTTGAATCTTAATGAACCAACCAATTAAAGTTATCTAAGTAATAAAGTATTTTCTAAGTGACCATGCCATCTTATACAAACAAATCCCAGTAATATTATATATATTTGTCCCTTTCTATTCCTTTAATAAGTACTCTAATAAATGACACGAAGAATGTCCAGCAATACCCGCATTAATAAAAACTTTTTGTAAGTAAGTAGTTAAGATCCATTGAGTATCCTAATTTCGCGATTTATGTCTATCTTGTATAGCACTAGTCTTATCTTATTGCTTATGTTTGGAGCTCTTATCGAATGATTCCAAACTAAAAGCCAAGAAATCAAGATCTATTGTAAAGCCCAAAACAGTAACATAAACCAATCAACTAAAGGTTTATAATTAGATATTTTTATTAATTGTTATATAAAAGAAATCCATGTTCTTTTGTCTGTCAGAGCTGCATAAGTAAACACGTATCTGATGGTGATGTAAACTAAAATGTTAATTCTGTTAAGGATGGTTTTGAACTGGTTAAAATATATGCTAAATATATATTAAAATTAAAAATTTGTGTTTTTTATAATACCTTGTTAGAAAATCTTTAATGGTTTTGGTTTTAGAATAGTAAATTGTTTCTTTGGTTAGAGCACGTATAACATAAAAAATAAAGTAAAAATTATTATTATTACATACATTTTAAAAATAATAATTCGTGTGTAAGAACAATACAAAAATTAGCTAGGATTTGCAAGACCTACCTTAAACCCATCATAAGTCCAACTGCCAAATTTTAGAACACAGGTCTGTTCATCAAATGGGAAATACTCTACATCTATCTCACAGGATGATTTGTATATAGCTGGAGGCTTCCATTCAACTAATCCTTCAGAGTAAATTGTGGCTTTTGTTGCAAGAGTCACTTCGAAGTTACCATCAGCACTACATTATATTTTTCGATATCGGTACAAATTATAATTACTTTTCAAACTTGGAAAGATGTAAAATATTTTTAAATTTGCAAATTTCTTATTAATATTTGATAAAACAAGAAAAATCGCTATAGTCGAGTGCCTCGACTATTTGATACCCGTTACTCAGCTAAATTGATATGCATTCAACTAAGCAATTGTATCCAAGATTGCATGGGAGCTCCGCCTAGCGGTGATTACATAAGGTCCACATAACTTTTTAATAAATTGCCTTTACGCTTTCTCCCAAATTTTCTAGCTGTTATAATTTCCGAAATCTTAGCGGACACAAAGGGACAAATGTGTGGTTTGCCTAGCAGTTTGCTAGTGTTACATACTTTTAAACGAATACAATATTCATGTTTACTCAAAGAGTAACGGATATTCCTTGTCACTTAGAGTTTTAAATGTCCTTCGATATAGTAATACTTACAAGTTATGTAAAAATAATCATACAATTAATTAAGATCTTTTTCTTAATTATAAAATGAGCATTATTAGAATATATTTGTATTATCAAAACGCATTCAAGTATTAATAGCACTGCCCAACAGATTTCGTGTGCATTTCTTGTCCTAAACTTAGTTTTATTTTTAATATTTATTTATTTATTTTACGCTATATATATGTATGATTAAATACACTAAGTAACAAATCGTTTTTATTTACCTTGATGAACGCTAAAGAGTCTTATAGGTTTTGATGCGTTATTTTCGAATGATTTTTTTTCCAAGAATTGTATTATTTTTATACCCTTGCAGAGGGTATTATAATTTTGGTCAGAAGTTTGTAATGCAGTAAAGGAGACCTTTCCGACCCCATAAAGTATATATATTCTTGATCAGGATCAATAGGGGAGTCGATATAGCCATGTCCGTCTGTCCGTCTGTATGTCTGTTTCAATACCGTTTGCGAGCTCAGTTTAAAAGCTAGCGCCGTCAAACTTTCACAGTCGTCCTAAAACATATGTACGCAGATCAAGTTTGAAAGCCGACCCGATCGGACGTCTATATCCTATAGCTCCCATAGGAACAATCGGATATAGCTTTCAAAAAATGATATTTCGCTCAGTGTACGAGCTTTTGACATGAATCTTATTCTTTTACGCATACCTTGATCAGGGTAAAAGCGCGTGCCGATCGGACGTCTATATCATATCATAAGAACAATAGGGTGAAAAATTTTTAATTTTAATTTTTTTCAATTATAGAATATTTTGTTGTTTATTAATTCATGTTGCTGTTTTTGTCAAGTTTTTATTCGTGAAATCTGCAAGGGTATTAAAACTTCGGCTTGCCGAAGTTAGCTTCCGTCCTCGTTTAATATTATGAATGTCATAGCCATGAAATTTAATTTTTTGTTTCTTTTATATATAGTACCGTTTTATATATATGTGAGTAAAGGACACTTTTTTTCCTTATTCCAATATATTTTTGGCCGTGCTAAGAGCTTGGTTTCCTGAAAAGTATATCTCCGTGATTAAGAAATGGGCACTTATAATTTTTTTTAAGGTGTCAATTTTTTTTAAGTGTAAAAAACGTTGTTGTTTCTTTTTTTTCTATCTCGAGTTGTGGTAAACCGATTTCGGTCATGGAGTCATTAATTTTTACTTTTCTGAAATGTTTGAAGGTGTTTGCGCCAAACACCTTTTAAAATCGTTTAAGGCGATTGTGGGCGTTAGAGGGGGCGTGGCCCTCGGCTGAAAGAAGCTTGCGCTGCATAGGAAGCCCAAGAATATGTGTGGGTAATCCCAACTTTCTAGATTTTGTAGTTTCCGAGATCCCAGCGTTCATACAGGCAGACAGACGGAGAGAAGGAGAGTCGGACACGGCTAAATTGACTCGGCTAGTGATCCTGATCAAGAATATATATACCTTATTGGGTAGGAAATGCTTCCTTTTATGTCAACCTTTTTTGACCTTTTCTACCTTTTTTGCTTTAAATATATGCCTTAAGGGGGGAGATACCTACATAGTGCAAATTTAAAATTCAATTTTTTTTTACTTAAATTGGTAGAATAACTCTTTAAAAATGTGCAATGAAAAGTTTCACGAAGAAATTCGATCTATTTTGGAACTTATATCAGGATGACGGCACCCACCATCCTTATGCAGTAGATATATTTCATCACTTTAAATACCTTTTTCTCGAAACCACGTTTTCCTCAGCTGTTTATCTCAAAAGTATTGCTTCGATGCTTTTACAGAAATGTTTGTAATAAAATTGCCTACTGTCTGAACCTACTTAATGTAGAAATTTGTACGTTGAAGTATTTTAGTTAGCTTAAAAGAGCAAAAAAATAATGCAAAAAATGGATTTTTGACTTTAAAATAGTGCCACATTCATAGTTTTTGAGATATTTTATGTAAGTTAGGTTCAGACAGTTTCTACATTATTTCTTTGCGAAATAAACTTGGTGTCATAAAAATCGGATCGATCCGCAGCTGGCCTATTTTTTTTAATATAATAAAAATCGGTTAAAATTATATATGAACAATGTAATCCACATGCCAAGTTACGAAATCCCAGAGCAATTCCTTATTAGTTAAAAAAAATCACGAAAAACTTAAAAAAAATTGCGGTTCTATATGCATCTTCCCCCTTAAAGTAGGAATGCTGTTATTGATTCTGTTTAAGTGAAATTAATTTCGTAGTCTTTTGCCTTGTGACTAGAATGAAAACGGAAAATGACGAATGCAAATAGAAAGGATAATCGCTTAAAATGGATGGACGAATTTTCTTGAAAGATGCTACCATTCAAAGACAAAATATATTGTGAATCATGTAAGGGTTTGGATTCAGTGCCCTTTTTTTATTGGTTGGAATTTCGAATTTTAGCGAATTTTTGGTTTTGAAAAGGCCTAATTCGAAATCAAAAAGAATATTATAATATTAGATGCGAAGTACAAAATAAGTTTTCGTCGAATAAATCGAAAAGAAAATGGCGGCTGTGCAGCATTTCTTTGTAGGTCCTTTTTTATTAAAGAGGGTCTATGACCGGACAGCTAATGTGAAAAACGTGAGTGATTGAAAAAAAGTTAATATTTTCACGAATAAAAAAGTCACAACATTTTTAAAAAAATGTAATGTTACGAACTGATTTTTATAGTTTGCTCGCTACGAAGTTCTGTAGATTGTGTGTTTCGTCCCACCAAATTTTACCGCCCGGTTAACAGTAATAACACTTTAGAATTCAATTAAGACCGGCTATGGTTTACAATGCTTGTAGATCTCGTGGTGGTGATGCTCCTGCGACGCCGCTCGGTGATCCCTCGCACTGGTGTCCTTGGCTGCCCAGGATACTATCGCGGCCTCTCGTAGACGAGAGCGTGGAGTTAGGCCGTTGGGCTTAGTGAAGCGTCACCGTTCTCAGACTAGGGTGAACAGGCACCACGCTTGCAAGACCTTCGTCCTGTCAGCCGCAGCCTCCTGTCCCTTGCTCTGTCCCGGCCGGTCCCGCTAGACGCCTACTCAATTTCCTTTGACTATGGCCGGTTTACGCCAGCAGTCCCTGTAGCAAACGCCCAGAGAAAGACGACCGTTCCACCCTAACCTTCCCTCCTGGCTGTTGCGACCTGAGGCCTGGCTCGCGGCGTGGTCCTTGGATGCTGATCCTCGTCGATGTCCTATGCGACTCGTTGCAGCGTTGTTCCGTGGTGCTCCGTTGAGATCTGCGGCTTGTGCTCCACGTTCAGCTGGTGGTGATGCTGACGTGCTTGGTCCCGAACGTCTTGACTCCAGCGATGGGCCCGCTTATAAAGGCCTCAGGGTCCCGTTAATCCTCGGCCTCTCCTTTTCTTCTCTCCAATTCAGGGTCCAAAGTGCACGGTTTTACCGTTCGACCTTTCGCCCTCTGCGCACGGCACCACACTAGGTTCCAAAGTGCGGCGCTGTACCGTTAATTCCTTGTTCACGGCAGGCCTGCGATCTCTCGTATCTCCCTCAGGTTAGTGCCGTCTCGCTCTGACGCCTCTCTTGTCGCTCCCTCTCTCTGGGTTGGTACTCTCCCAACTCTCTCCAACTCTCCACTTTAGGGACCAGAGTCCGCGGTTTTACCGTTCGACCTTTCACCCTCTGCGCACGGCGGTCTTCTGTTGTTCGTCTTGGTCACCCTAATCTCTGGCGATCGATAACGTGACTCGCCTATCGATATTGCCTTGGGGCTGCGTTGCCACCTAATCATCGCGCTGTTTATTAGAATGATCCATATGCCGATATTTCCATTGTCTCGTGCCCATCGATCGGCTGTTATACGATAGTGCCAATCGACCGCCAACTATCGCTGGAGCCCCCTTCCCTAAACATATGGTGAATTGGCAAAATGACTTGGTAAGTGCAGTTTCTGGATGTTTGTTTTTGTGTTCTAATTTTCCATCCTTTTTCAGCTCAAACCATATTGCCCTTATGCCCTTTGCTGTCCTTGACGTGGGGTCAATGCCCCTGCCGATTGTAGTTGCCTGTTGAAAAGAAGAAAATTATTTTGTAACTCCCCCAGTACACATTTAAAAACGTGTAAAGTTGCAAGTTGTTCTTCTAAGCCGTTCTCGAGATATACTAATTTAAAGTTTGAGAACATTTTTTAGGTTCTTAACTTCAAAAATTCATAGCTTCCCTAAATGGACACCAAAAAATTAAAAAAAAATCACAGATGATAACCAAGCCAAACTCTACGAGGTACCCGAGTTTGAAGAAAATCTTAAATTTCATATGCGCAGTTGAGAAATTCTTACCCTCCTGACGATTAAACAGTTGGCCATTGCTGCATGTATTTCCGGACCGTGGTGCCTCGCTCTGCTCCATCAGCTGTGCTTCGTCGTTCTCGCTTGCTTCGTCCGCCGTTTTAGATCGCTGATGTGCACGGTGCGTTCCTTCTTGCTTCTTTGATGGCGAATTTTGCAGATTACGGGGGATACGAAATCGACCACCTGATATCGACCATCATATCTCGGCGCTATTTTGGCCGCAAAACCT